CCAACAACCTGCATCTTCTTGATCTCGAACTAGATGCTTGAATCACGCGCAAACAGATCTTCAATATCTGAAATAAAGGCGTTGAGATGTGTTATCGTCGCTCCTCTGATACTTAAATCAGAGAGAATTTATGCAAAAAACTGTATACTGAAATATTATGTGAAATGTACTTGAATAATGAGGCTGTGTCATGTATTTATAGATGTTGGAGATAGAGTCCTAAAAGAATTCAACTTCTTGTAGTCCTTATCCTTGTTATACAATGTATTTATGTTAGAAGTGTACAATTTGAGTTAGAGTCAAATTTGTAATAGGTCATGAGTTTATATTCAAATAGGAAAAGTGTGGAATTGTAGTCAGAATATGATTAACATTCCTAGGAAACATGAGATAAGGTCAAGGAGACCGGGCAAAAGTGCTACAAGCCCGACCTCTTCGATTAACCTTGACCTCAACATGAACCCCGAGCTTGGAACTAGCATAATTGGTGCACGTTGAGTTCGGGCAATGAACACGAGCTCGGGCATACGGCATTACTACGCATCAGATTGTATTTATTTTACTAATAAAATAAGTAATTTATTTATTTTTAAATTTGATTTACTATGCATCATAGGTATCTGTGCATCTAGGTCGCAGCTAACAGTTACGTACTCGAGCTGCAAGGTGAGATGCAATGAGGTGCAACAGCCCGAGATCGAACTTATTTGGCTGTTCGTGGGTAATAGTTGGGTGTTTGACACGTGTCCAAAGCGTGTAGGGTAGAAAATGAACGACCTTGTATGGTTGACACATGGCATGATCCAAGGGTCAGGATTGCACATCCTTTGACCTTCTTCTGACCCCTATAAATGCTCCCTTTTCACCCCTCAGTTTTCACATTTTTGCTTTCAACTCTCAATAAAAGCAGTTCAAGTTCGAGACTTAGAGGGTTTTTGTGAGCGACCACTTTAAGAGGTAAGTATTTGAGCTTTTAAGTTATTTATTTTAAGTAGTATAATGTCGAGTTGTGGTAGTGAGGGGTCGAGTAGTAGCAGTGGTCAGTC